CTGGGGAAGGACCAAGGGTGCAGTTTTGTGTACCTAACTTGGGTTCTTCCAAGGCAGCAGTGTGAGTGACCCACTGGTCGTGTCATGCTGAAGCCAGTGCAGAGAGCAGTGGAAGCAGAGCTATGATCCACCTGAAGACAGTTTGGTGAAGAGTTTGCTTGCTTTCAACAGCAATCTGGGCATCAGTCATTGGAAATGGACCATGAACCCACAGTGTGGGGAGCGGGGGTATGTCTGTGTCCAGCCCCGCTTCTTATAAGCTCTTTCTGCCAGACTCTGGGTAAATGTTGGACCAGAACATCTCTCCTCCTGTCTCTATTCTCTTTTTAGAACAGAAAGGGCTGCTTTGCACTTTTCCATTTGTCCTGGTTCAGCTAGGATAGGGTTAAGTTTCCCCAGCAGAGAGGGGTAATGGATCTCCAGGCGAGTTATTCATACCATGCTGGCGCCAGGTCCAGGCATGGGAGCACGAGAACTTTTTCCTTTGTGGCTTTGGTGACGGGGAGCACAGGGCTGTCTGTAACCATTGCGGTATTTCTCTGTATATCTTTTGTCTTGTTCACTGTTATTGCTGTTTAATGTTGTCATCATTGTTACTGTTGTTGTTCAGATTGCTTATTACACTGTTGTATTAAATTCCTTCTTATTTTAGCCCGGGTTTGTGCCTGACTTCCAGCCTGACCGGCTGAGGGTGGGGGAGGGGCAATGGCAACGTGGTCTCTGGTCCAGGCAAGGCCTAAACCAACACATCATTCTATCAGGGTGAAGGTAAAACAAACCAAATCCTTGGTAAGCATCTTAGTATGACATTTTTGCAGTGGGTATTCAGTGTGCATAGATTCCACAGACAGCATTATGGCCTCTGGAGGAAAAGTGCTTTCAAGGCAGGGGCTCGTAATTGAGACGGCTTGTGTTTGTAGTGACAGCATGCAGAAGACTTTACACTTGCAACTTTTGTAACTTCAGTGCAAATACTGACTCGTTGCATGAGCCCCATCCAGATTTTCACCCCTTGCAACGAAGTTACAGGATGTTACTTTTTGGGTGCTTTACCTTTTGCCAGATATCTTCACAAGCATCTCAGGTTTCAAATAGTCCTCCATCTTGATGTGAAGCATAGTGAGTCACAGCACAGGTGGTGACTCATTGATATCAATTAAACATTAGGATCCTGAAGGTGTGACTCCTTTAGCTTTGACCAAAAAAAAAAAAAAAAAGCTGTCACAACATGAAAAAACCACTTGCAATGTATTGCACATCTGCATAGGTGGCAAATTCTCTATGTTGCTGTACTGCTATGAAAAAAAGCTTTTGTTTGTTTAAATGTTCCCTTTCCACCAGCAATTTTTTTTTCAGCCTATATAACATGGTCCTATTGGTTTAGCAAGTCACTTTATCAGATCTCTTGCATAAGGAGGATAGATGGAGGACAAAGACAGACAAAACCCAGGGACACAAAGAAAAATCGCAGGGAGCGCTGTAAATTTAGCAGCATCCTTCCTTAAGGCTGGGTTCTGTTAACCCCCAAGTGGGACACCAAGGGATTCAGCCAGAGCAGTTACAGGATTTAATGGTCTCCCTGCTTGTAACAAATTAATCTACCTTTTGTAAGAGGTGGTAGAGGATTACTGTCTAGTCTCCAGCCAAAACAATCTCCTTGTGCAGATTTACTTGGAGAGCTACTTGAACTGTTGTCAGCACTGCCCAGCCCAGCACTTTTTTCTGCAGGGAGGTGGAAACCTGTCACTCTTTTCTCTGTGAAGCAAAGCTGACTGTCGTATTTGTGGGATAAAATTACTAGCAGTAACATCAGAACCTGCCACAGCTCTGGGAACATGGTGAATACACTCTGCTCTGCCGGGCCTGGGTGTATGTAAGGGGAGAGGCATCATTGATGCTATATAATGGTTCTTGCTTTATTTCTACTCTTCAAAGCTGAGACTGCAGTTCTCTGCCTTTGGCTTTTCCATGGGGAAGGAAAGAGGGAGCACAGGTCTCTAACAAAATTCTTGCACTTTCAGCATGATGAAGCCTTGCTGATTTGCTCTGCTGCTGTGTTAAGACGGGTAGGGATGATAGGCTAGCTATTAAATATGTATTTTGTCCTATTAATGTCATCTTTATGTGAGGCTGCTTTTGGCTGAAGCATCCATTTTTCTTTTGTGCCCTCTCCTTATTTTGTCTCTTTGCTAGTCGAATGCCCTAGTGGCACCCACCACTGTCCTGCTGAATTCATTTTGGATAACTGCTTCACAGCGTCTTCTCTCTGGTTTGTGACAGCTGCCAGAGGAGAAACCAGGGTATGCATGAAGTCTTAGTACTGAGTGAGTAATCTGGGGTCATGTCAGAGTCTGTGGAAGTTTGTGCTAAAGCAACTATTGAAGTATTTCACCATTTCCCTATTTACAAGTCCTGTGAGGGTTTTGGAGAGCAGGAGATTTGGGGAAGGTCAGGGGCTGCCTGTGTCTGTCAGCACCCATGTTAGGCTGCCCTTGTGGGTTTGGAGGATCAGTTCTGATTTACACTGGCCTGCAGAGTGAGTGCTTAACCAAGGGCAGGAAAGGACCAGATTCAGGATTTGTAAGGAAATACATGTTTTTATTTCCAGAAAAGCTGGGGAGCTGGGCAGTAGCCTTCAAAACAAATGATGACTCGCAGATAAGTTATCAGGAGTAGGTGGATTTTAGGCTCTACTGAAGGACATACTGATAGACTGACTTTTCTTCTGCTTTTAAACTCTTCCTCTGTGTACCAGTGTGCCAAGTGGTTTGACATCTGTTGTCCTGGCCTGAAATTTTACAACAGCCCTTCATGAGATTTTGGCTCCTTCAACCATGAACTTTTACCTATGTGTAATCTTGTACTGCACGTTCCCTTCCTGGGGCTCATGCAAGGGTCGGCTATCTTTGACTAGCAATAGTAAGCTGTGAAAATGAAAAGACACCAGGACATCTGCTTTTTCCTTTTCCACTTGGATGACATTACCGTTCCTCTGACAGCAATAAAATTAAAAATTAACAACTTGTAGAGATTACCTCAGGAAAAAAAGTGTTCTTGTATAAATATGACTATTTTTAATAAATTTCATTTGTTCTCTACAAACAAAAATGATTTCTCAGTTTTAAGCAGTACATACATCTTCTGGATCGTGAAAATAAACCCAGAGCATTTGAAAGCCTGCTTGGGGCTCAGATGTATCTCCCAAATTTTGTTTTGTTTATGGCTTGTCTGGGCAGATATTTTTCTTTGCTAACTGGAGATTGGTTCTATAATTGCAAGTATTAGGAACTGCATTTCCCCCACTTGCTAAATAGTTCTAAAAAGTCAACATCTCTGGAGAGCAATTCTCAATGCCTTGCTGAGCTGTTGCTGCAAATAATTCATAGCTGTTTGATGGGGAAAAAAAAAATACTTGCTCATACAACTTGCTTTTAGTTCCTTAATTCCTTAGTCTGTAGGTTGGAGGATCAGACATATATGTCCCAACTTCTTCAAGTCAGTGCAGTGAGGAACTCAAATACATTTAACTAAAACAAAAAGTCTGAGACTGAAAGCTGGTACGTTTCTTTTGGCCACAAAAAGTGCTATACTTCTTGGTGAGATGGTATGTTGTTGGGAGGACGTCTCCTGTGGTGTTGAACCAGAGGGCTGAGTCAGAGCTAGCTGTATTTGTGGAAGGGCTGTATGTCATGAAAATGCTTAAAAGTGCCTAATTGAATTCTTGAGGGAAGCTTTCTTTTGAAGTTGCATCTGACTTTTAAAAATAAATTGCATACTTTTACTTTGTGTTTTTGGCCATGGAACTTCAGTTCCCGGTGTCAGGAAGGCTGCTTGCTACTATTACCTTACACACAAATAGCCATTCTGCAAAGTTTCAGTTCTGGAGTACCTGACTCTCCGAAGTTAGCTGTACTTATTTTTCATGAAATGTGTATGGCTTCCATTACCATCAATAGCTGAACACTTCGCAAACCACAAACAAACATATCTTCCTACATTTATTCAAGGGTATTAATAATAGCGTCCACACTTTACACACGAGAGAGATTAAGTTATATGTGCGAGGGCAATGAGGATATTCAGACAAAGCCTGGAGTGCAGCCTGGTTCTCCTGAGGCTCGGCCTAGTGACTCCGAGGCAAATGTCTTGGAGTTTAGGGAAGTCTCACTAGAAGCTTTGTTGTTTCAGTCTTTCTCATGGGAATGAGGCACTGCCCTAATGACAAGGTGCTTGAAACAGTCCATTTTCTCTTCCTTTGACAGAAAGGGTAATTTCAGTATCAGGGATAGCTTTAGTGTAGAGGTTCAGCCCCTGTCTGATCTCTGAGCTGTGACCTGTCACTGTGGGAGCTGCTGTCCCAAGGAGTCATACAGCTGCGCCGGGATCTCCGGCTGCCCTGTCCGGCTCCATCCCGATGAGTCGCGCCACCCCCTTCCACCATCTGGGGAATTGAGATGCTGTTCTGAAAGCAAAAGTACCTTGATGCTTTGTCCATGGGAGCCTTCATCTAATGGCCACCAGGGGTCTGCGGCCAAGCAGCTGCTTTTCCCCATTTTTCCAAGCAACCCTGGGAAGGTCAATTGGAGAAAATGCTCTTAGAAGTGTCGGGCTTGCTGCCAGTGGGCTTCAGGGGCCTCTGGTAGGAGGTGTCTGGGGTGCTATAGTGAGATGCTTTAGCTACACCCAATACTGCTAATGTCTGATGCAGATCTACCCCTTAGTCTGAACTCATACGGCCTGGAAACAGGCAGATTTAAGTGTTGGATGTTGTCATTTTATAATTAAGGTTCTGATAAAACTCACTGAAGTAAATGAGTCTTTAATTTGCTTCTCAGGGTCTGGGATTTGACTTGAGAGAGAAATCTTTCCTCTGCCATTTCCATGCACTCGTGCTAGGAATGAAATTTGGAAGCAGCTCTACACCAATGTTAGTATGTTTAAATGCATCTGTGAAACTAATTTATTTCAGTTTATCTGCTTTTTTTTTTTTTTTCTTGCAGTGGGATCTTGTTTGTGATTCCGCCTGGAAAGTCCACATTGCTAAATTCTCTCTACTGGTAGGATTAATCTTCGGCCACTTAATAACAGGATGTATAGCTGACTGGTAAGTGTAAAATCTTTTAATGCAATGTAACTATAAATAAATAACAATATTAAATATTGTTTTGATTTTGTTCTACTTTATATTCATGACAAATCTTTGCATAGTGATCTTTCTGCTTCTGAAAGAAGCATGATAAATAGTTTAAAACTGTGTGTTAATTGCTTGAACTGAGTAATTTATATCAAGATAAATAACATAAACTATTTGATAGTTGGCTTGGCTATTTCCCCCGACACAATTTATTACAGCTGTAATGCTAGTACAGAATTAAGTATTTTCTAAGTGAAGGCTTTAGGGTCTGTTTTTTTTTGGTTTGGTGTGGTGTGGTTTGGGGTTTGTTGTTTTGTGTTTTGTTGTTTGTTTTGGGTTTTTTTTAAACCAAGAGATAGGGACAAAAGAAATTGGAAATGGCATTGATTTGACTGAATACAAGACTAACGTAATGTCAAACTTGTGCTTACGCAGTATCTTTTGGTGGGTAGAAGGCTGTTTTTTGCAAACCTTTCCATTGTTCTATTTTTAAAGATCTTGTTAAGCAAACATTTCAATGTAGTGTTAAGGAATTGCTGACTTATGTGTTGTTAATATTGGGGTATTAAATTAAAAGCATAGAGTGCAATTCCTTAAACTGCAGTAGTGAAAACATTGGATACCCCAGTTATGCTGAGAGTTCAGCTTTTATTTAAAGAAAGGGTCTTGTAGTTCAAGAGAGGGGGGAAAAAAATAAAAAAAACATGACTCAAGTGACTTCAGTGGAAACTTGCAGCATCTGAAACAATAGTTCCACAATCCTGTCCCAGTCATTTCAGTGGCTTCCAGCACAGTTGCTAGTGTTGGTGCTTTAAGTGGCCCCATGTTAACTCTTTTGCCATTCATTAAAACAGGAAAGGAAGAAGAGTTGCCTATTAGGGAAATCTTACAAAGCCTCAGCAACTCACTAGTCAGTTGGGAGAGAAAAGGCCCCCTGCAGCTGTGCAGTAATTTGGCTCAAGCATTTGTAGCAAAATTGCATCTTAGTTCTTGAGTAGTCACTAAAAGTTCTTAGGTGAGGAATCATGACTTTTCAGTGAATCAGGGAACATGCATGATGAAATATAGTCGAATTTTATTAAAATACCAAAGTAAAACAGGGCTCTAACAATACATAGAAAGTATAGTGGGGAAATGAATGAGCGATCTTCCTCGGCTTTCCTAAAAAGGAATCAGTGTGGAGAAAGCAGACTTATTCCCAAGTTAGGAAAATGCTGCTATAATTGACAAATAAGTCACAAATAAGTTAACAACTTGTTGCCGAAGGCACAGGCTTCAAGAGAGAATTGCAATAAGCGGGTTTAATAGCTCATCCTGCTCTTCCATCCATTTCTGTCCCCAGTGTGTACTTTGTGCTGCCATGTGCACTTGTTGGACCCCTCTGCAAGCTACTTAGCTGAGCTAATGCAACATAAAATTACCTCGATATAAAAGTGAGAGGGTTTGTTGTGTTTTTGTTTGTTTGTTTGTTTGTTTTTGTTTTGTTTTTTTTTCTTTGTCTAGTGAGTTTAGGAGAGCTTAAGGGCAATTTGGTTTCCAGCTGTGGTGCAAAGGAGAAAAAGGGTAGTTTGGTGGCTGGAGGCAACAGTGCCCCCCTTGCCTTTTCATGGGTGACCAGAAAGGACATGGTTTGTTGCCACTGAAGCCAGTCCTTGTGCTCCTCTTCAGTCCCCATCTTTGTCATCTGCAGGGGACCTGTGCTGGACAGTCTTTTTGTCATTTAGCAGTAGCATTTGGGGCTGGTAAAATAAGACCTAAATGGGATTTACTTTGCTAATTCATTACAACATGAGTTTCCACTAAGGCAGAGCGTTGTGTGGAGAGATAGATACAAAGGCGATTGTACCTTTAAAAAGAAGAAAAAAAAGTTAGTCCCAAAGGAGCAGGGGAGATTAAACAGAGTAATGTACAAAAGTGTAACAAAGTTTCAAAATCTGTTTCCATTTCCCTTATGTACTACTCCCAGTTCAGATCATTAGAAGAGGCTTTGTTTTTTTTCGGTACCACTGGGGTTTGGGCCTTTGCTTTTTCTTTTTGAAATAAAAAAAGTTTCTTTTAAAACTGTACATGGCAAAGGTGTAGGGTGCATTAAGGTAGGTTTTTTTAAGCGAACTGAGTGGTCTATGTTCAAAATACAATAGGTGTGCACACTGGGATAGCTCTTTGTCGAAAACCTGTAGAAAGACAGTCTGTAAACATGTTTGGCTATGTGAAGACTGACTGTGTCCAACACCTGAATATAAGTTACTCATTCAAGAGGCAGAGAGCACTTCTAGCAGTTTTACCTGATCTGGACAGAGGCAGTTGAGGGTTCTGGAAGGCTTCCTTCTGGAACATGTGGGTTTAGTGTTCATGTAGCATCAAAAGAGTAGGTTTCTGTCATTGCCCCATACTGTCCCTGCTTTGCATCTGCTCTGGTGCTTTATGGAGCCTTTGTGCTGATTCAAGCCCCAGAATATAGAGAAAACCTGCAAAGAACAGCATGGGAAGAGCAGTTTGAGCTGCAAGAATTGTAGAATGGGTTGGGTTGGAAGGGATCTTAAAGATCATCCAGTTCCAGCCCCCCTGCCATGGGCAGGGACACCTTCCACTAGCCCAGGTTGCTCAAAGTCCCATCCAACCTGGCCTTGACCACTGCCAGGGAGGGGCAGCCACAGCTTCTCCGGGCAACCTGTGCCAGTGTCCCACAACCCTCACAGAAAATAATTTCTTCCTTGTATCTAATCTAAATCAACCCTCTTTCAGTTTAAAACCATTACCCTCTGTCCTACCCCTATACTCCCTGATAAATAGTCCCTCCCCACCTTTCCTGTAGCCCCCTTTAAGTACTGGAAGGCCACTATAAGGTCTCCCCAGAGCCTCTCTGGGCTGAACAACCCCAACTCTCTCAGCCTGTTCTCAGAGGGGATGTGCTCCAGCCCCAGATTGTCTTCATGGCCTCCTCTGGACCCGCTCAAGCAGTCTGTCCCAGAGCTGGACACAGCACTCCAGGTGGGGTCTCGAGAGCAAAGTAGAGGGGGGGAATCCCCTCCATTGACCCGCTGGCCACACTTCTCTTGATGCAGCCCAGGATATGGTTGGCTTTCTGGGCTGTGAGCACACATTGCTGGCTCATAGTTTCCATTCACCAATACACCCATGTCCTTCTCTGTAGGGCTGCTCTCAATCCACCCATCGCCCACTCTGTATTTGTGCCTGGGATTACCTGGACCTTAGTCTTCTCAGCGTGGCAAGGTACATGCATAGGAGCACAGGAAGAGCAGTTCTTGTCCTCAAACCACTCACTCTGCCCCTGTGGTGCAACTCTGCCGATGCTAGAAATATCTTTTTGATGCATCTGTGTATTCACCGTGTAGACTGCAGATTCTTCAAAAGCCTGAGTTTGCTTGTATCCCTAGTTATTTGCCTGTGCAGGTGGCATTTAGCATTTGATCTAGATGATAGTATGCAGTGTAGGCTGAGACTTTTGTGGCACAGAAATATCTCCGTGGAATAGTTTGGATGGCAGTAGATAGCATCCCGGGGCTGTTTTACTGAGGAGATTGTGTATGGTTTAATTTCTCACAAGCATTTCCATGTACTGTTAGATAATTCTGTCTACATATAAAAGGCTTTTTTTTTATGCTCTAAGACACCATCCTGTCAAAACACTGCTGGTTCACCAAATGTATGGCTGATAGCTGCCCTGGAGCTTTGATTTTTGAGGAATGTGCTGCACGCCTTGGTGAGGAAAGAGACTAGTTTTGTGTCTGGGAGGAGGTGCTGGTGATGCCTCTTACCAGAGGGCTTATATGGCCTCAGCTGGCTTTCACAGGCCCAGGAGGGTCTTGGATTTCCTGATTCTTCATTAGCAACAACCACTCATTTACATAATGGTAGAAAAAATTCTATGTTCTAATGATGGAGAACCTCAAGTACCAGAGGGTGAGAGGAAGAAGGGGACTGAAGTATGCTAAGCATGAGGTCTTTTTTTAATCAACGTCAGGGAATGGCAGGTCAGGCTTGTGATGAGAATTAAGTTCCTAATTCAGAGTCTTTGCATAATGCCTTTCATCTGCAAAACACTTCCACAAATACTAATTAGTATGAATTACAGCTTGGCAATTACAAAAATAGGGCTGCAGAAGTCTGCACAGATCGCTGATAACAGAGTTCATAGTTGTGTGTTTTTTTCTGTATTCACGGTTTCATATGAGGTGCTTCCCCTCCCTGTCCAAGTGCTTTGTGTTCCATAAATACAAAATCTGAAGGACACAGAGCAATAACTGCCCCAGTGTCCAGCATGTTCCCAGTGCGTTGCATATCACAGAGGCAGTGATGTTGTGTTCTCACCCTCAGCCCAACAGTATCTCATCTTCTGTTGGGCTGGGTTTGTATGCTGATTGAGAGCAGTCTGCTTTGACCTTGCTGTCTTCAGTTTGCATGTTGGTACATTCAGTTTTAAAAACATGGAATAGTTGATGCCAACAGCTTAAAACTTTGAGGTGCCCCACAGGTGATGCTACAGCTGAAGAAAATAGTAAACCTGTCCTCATGCAAGGAGCCATGACATCTTAAGCGTGACTTTGTGTCATCATTCACACTTTTCACATACCGGTGCACTCTTCCAGTTCCCCAAAATGTGAAAATTATAATGATGCCTCCTTTTCAGCCCTTCACTTTGTATTTTATTAATCTCGTTCTGTTTTAAGCAAAGCAAAATCCAACATTCTAATTGTGAATGCATATATATAATTTATAGCTAGTGGTAATAATCTGCTGAAATAGTTGAATAGAAACACTTCAGTATGTGAAACTGGACTAAATTGTGAGATTTAAATGCTCTTCATTGTGCTGACATTCAACCTGATGGCTGGCTTGCAGCTGACAGACTGCTTTGAATGGGTCTGTGAAAACTGCCTACGAAAAGCAAGTTCATATATTCTTTGTGGAAATGGCATATGGAGCTGACTAAAAGGGATCCTCAGTTCCACTGGAAAACTTGTGGGAGTTGACAAGTTGAAAAATTTTGGAAATCTCCACATAATGATCCAATTCTTGCTTAAAAATAGGCATGTGCTCTGGTGCTTCATTTCATTCTCCTTGCACAGGAAGAGTGGGGGAAAGGGGAATTATAAACACTAAGTATATGAGTAAGAGATGTGAAACTCTCATGTTCCTTTGACATAAAAGAGCCAAACTCTGCAGCAAGTGCCCCCACATTCAGTGGTAGCGTAAGTTTTCATCATCGGCGCTGCACCAACACATGCAACTCCATGTTGCAGCTGCAAAGCCTGCCTACAAAGGAGGGCTGCAAATCCTCACACCCGTTGCCAGTAATAATTTTTGGTTTCTTCCTCACCTTCCAATCGGGCTGGTTTTGTGGGTCTCTGCAGCTGCTGTGGGGATAAAAGGTGGTGGATTTGGAGCTCACAGATTTCCTGTGAGCATTACTATCAGCTTTCTAAGCCTCAGTGAAGCAACATGACCCTGTTTTGTGCTCAGTCCGTGTTTGTTAGGCTTGCCCTCAACAATGAGGCCAGGAAAAGTAATTTTTTGAGCCAGCTCCTCTTGCAGATGAGGCTGAAAAGCACATGTCTGTTGGGAAGAGGAGACCTCTGTAGTAAACTCTGTGGCTGTGGACTGTAGAGAAATAGTAGTATATTCCTATATACATGCCATATAACACATAATACCATACACTCATCGTGCTACTACAGAAAGCTCTGAGATGTCGCTTTTAATCTCCAATGGACTTGTCTATGGCCTTACAGTAGTTACTAGAGGTTTCCTTGTTTGTCTTTGGTGTTTTGAAAACTATGGTTAAATCAAGCAGTAATACAATGTGCTGTCTCTGCATAATCCCATCTGAAATGAATTTGTCAATGCAAAGCTGGCTGAGGTATCTGGGTTTTAGTAAGCAGAAGAAAAATGAGAAGAATGGAACAAGCATTAAAAATGTGTGGCAATATTTGGAAGGGATTACATGACTTTTTCCCCTCTTTGTCAGTTGTAATGATCTAGCATAATGCCCATGCTGACTTTTAACACTTTCTCCATACTTCCTTATTTTTAGGGTTGGTCGACGGCCTGTGCTGCTCTTCTCAGTCATATTCATTTTGGTATTTGGACTGACTGTGGCACTCTCAGTGAACGTGACCATGTTCAGCACACTCAGGTTTTTTGAGGGATTTTGCCTGGCTGGAATTGTCCTCTCCCTGTACGCACTGCGTGAGTATACCTTCATCACCCGTCCAAACATTTCTTTATCAAGTATGTGGTTTGTTGTTCTCTGGCTTCCTGTTTTTGTCCAAACAGATCAAACCAGAATCATAGGGGCTGAAAAAGCTTTAGCCTGGGTTTTGGTAAGGAAGTAGGGATTTTACAGCTGTCTCTTTAACTTGCTACAGAGCAGTCTGTGAAGCTGTTCAAGAGTTCATTATAAAACAGGTAAAAGGTGATTTGGGTTTGCTTGTTGTTATTTAAACCTAGAAGTATCATATAATCTGTGTTGTAGCCATAATATGTAATGGGAGTTGATTTCACCTTGCTATGTTGAGCTCAGTAGGAGACTCCCCACTTGCGCTAGCAGTATGTGTTCTGGCACTTTCTCAGAAATTTCTGTTACTTGCAGCAAGAGATACAGGACTGTGAAGTACAGCAGAATTATGTGAGAAGAGCCTGAGGTCCTTTTATCAAGATTTTTAAGTTGTTGTTTTGCCTGCTTCACCAGGGGGAAAAAAAAAAAAAAAAAAAAAAAAAAAGAGAAACTTGAGGGGAAAACTTGTAAGAAATGTCTACATACTCCTATTTGGGGTGAGTGGTAAACTTGTAGCCAAAACATTTGAAAACATCTTTTGAAGGCCTTACCTTTGAAGGGTACATGCATGATACCACCAGCCCAATCTGTGTCCCTTGGATATGCTCCGGAGAGCTCTGTCTGCTTCTGCTTTCTTGGCTGTTTGTAATTAACAGGTGGTACCGCACCAACAGGGGAAAACACAAAACTTCCCCCTTTTTATTATGGCTCTGGAAAAGTATTATCTAACTATATCCTGGAAGTTGCTGTATGGATCTTCATAATTTTTTATTTACTTCCTATTGTAATGATATTTAACCCATCATGATTTAGCACAGTATCCTTACTCTTCATGAAATGTTTCATAGTACTAAGTTCTGATTTTTGTTTTGGTTTTGCACCAAGGGGAAAGAAGTCTGACTACAGTACACAAGAGTTTGTTCTGTATTGCACTTCTTTGTTATAGCTGATATAGTACTCAACATTATTATTTTTTTTCTTCTCTTGCCATTGGTCATGTAATCTCTAATGAATTTTTCACCAAACCCCAAAACTACCACTGAAGCCATTGCATTTTTACTGGGAGGTGTTTTAACCTGTGTGGTTCTCATGGGAGAAGGCTTCAGCCATTACCAGTATGATATTCAGCTGGAAATTAGGCTTGTTAGAAATTTTTCACAGCCTAATGCTGCATGTCAGTGTTTTGTGGGGTTTTTTTTGTTGTGGTTTTTTTGTTTGTTTTTTTTTTTTTTAAACAAAACAAACCAACTTTTAAGAGTCATTACAACTGAAGATTTTCATGAAGAAATATCATCTAAGTAAAAGTTTCATTATGGACCTTTTGAGATCAAAGCAAGAGACTGCGTGTGTCACCTTAGATCAGACAGTAGCTTGCCAGGCAAGGCTTTCGTTCAACAAATAGGGAGATCCTGGTTAGTTCATGCTCTACAACACCCCCCACCCCCTCTATAATTCAAGTGTTTGCTATAACCACTACTGTCTGGATAGACAATGCATGAACAGAGCTAGTAGGTGTTTGGAGAAATCTGTGTGAAATTACCTGCAGCCTGAACATCTAAGGAAGTGAGAAAATGTGACAGATGCAGCACCTGTGCCTCTGGCAAATCTTCTGACCTTCTGGCTGGGGAGTTGAGGGGGAGTGGGTTTTTCTGTATCAAATATTTTCATTTAAAAAAAAAAAAAAAAAAGTTGTCATCTTGGTTTAGAGTAGTGGGAGAGGATTAATCCCTAAAGTCTTAAGAGAATTAAAGTAACAGGATTTTTTGTTTGTTTTGGTGATGGTGGTGGTTATTTTAGTACTCATAATCTGCTAGGCTTCCTCTCAGTTTGGATTTACTATCTTTCTGCTTCTGCTGGAGTTCATAGCATGCCATTGCACTCTTTTGTGGAGTCATCTTCTGTTTCATAGCCTCTCTTCCCCTTCTCTTAATGGCCTTGATTTCTTCCCCTGGAGGTTTGTTGCCCCTGAACTCCCAGCTAGCTGCTCCGAGCAGAACAATAGAAAGTGGAAAGTTTGATCTGCTAACACAGTCATTAGCTGAACTTTTCAAAGCTACTGTGCAGAAGCAAACTGTATAGGCTTGCATTGCCTGCAAAGGTAATTAGCCTGCCACAGGGATCCTTTTACACTGCGTTGAGCTTGCTAGTTGTGCTTGGATTTATAGCCTGCCTAAGGGAAATTGTAAATAATAGTTCTGGATGCTTGGGAGTGGAAAGAGCACTGAAATGCTGTCTTTAAAACGCAGAGCTGTCAGGATTGAGTTGCCCTCACCATTCAAACAGCCTCAATAGCCTGTTTTCCTACCTGTCTGTCTGAAGGTGCAGAGTGAGCCCAGAACCTTGCCTTGCCTCCTTCTGTGGAGGGACAGCAATGAGCTGGAGACACCAGTGCTCCTCTGCAGGCTTTCCTCAGTGTTGTAGTGAGCTAGTTTCTTGTGGCCTCCAAGTACAGCCTCTTGCCTGGAGCTGCTTGGGGCTTGTCTAAAGAAACCACTTACAAATGTTGATTTGTTAAACTGAAAAGTTTTTCCTGCAACTGCTGTAGTTTTGTTCGAAAAGGTGTTTCAGTTGAAATTTCTAGTGAACCTGCAGGAAGAGACAGGCTTTGTGCAAGTGATGATGCTTGCTGCAAAGGAGGGAAGCAGAGGAGAAGTGAACCTGGGGCTTTCTCCTGAGTGCTATGGGTCATTGCATCATCTAGGAGAATGAAAGGCAGTTAATCCTTTCCCACTGAACAAACGCATGCAGCTTTGAAAGCCTTTTGTTTCATGCTAATGTGGAGGCAGGGAGCCTCTGTCTTCCAGAAGTAGTTTCCTGCCTGGTACCAACCTTCAGTGGGTTCCTGTGCTCCTGAGTGTGTGGTGAGGCACCAGTGAGGTCCTTGGGAAGCTCTTCCAAGGAGGGTAAAGTGGCTCCTGATATGCTATGCTCAGCAGTCGTCTGATGCACAGAGCTGGAGCTGCCTGCTGTGATATACTAGTTAGGTCCCCTGCTATGTTTGCTGAGCAGATTTCTATGGAAATGGGCCACCCCTTGTTGGAGGAGGGTGCTGGGACTGGAGGTGAAAACTGGAGAGAGGAAATGGTGGAGGGGTGCCAAGGAGCACTCTGGCTGCAGTGGTTGGAAGGGGATGTATGGCCTGCCCAGCAGTTAAATGTAGGGAAGAGTGTAGGTGGAGGGGTTGGAGGAGAACAGGTTGTTTAAGAGAAAGCAGGGGAAAAGCTATTTTTTATGAAGTGCCTTTTGTTCAAGTATTCATTGCTGCGTGCATGTCCAGGGAGGGAGGACAGGCATCCTGCACCTGCTGGCTCAGCACGGTTGGGTGCACAGCACTGTAGCCTGCTGCCCAGCTGTAGAAGAGGAGGTTTGAGTTTGCCAGTTGGGGTGGAAAGCCCGAAGCTGGTCCTGTAAAAAGCTTGCTTTGCATAGGCCGAGAGGGAGGGAGCGCAGACGTGGAAGCCCTGAGCAGGGTCACGTGTGCCTGAGTAAAGCTTCAGCTGGTAACCATGGACTCATACAGCAGACGAGGTGTGCCACTCTTACTGCAGATAGCTCTGCCTGCTTGTTGCAACTCTTGTGGGACAAAGTACACTCGGCAAATGTGGAAGTCAAGGGAGAAAGCAAATCTCATTATCTCAAGGGTGGGGAGGGTGTTGCTTCTGGGTCACTTTGGTCTCACTGGGGCATTGCCATGGCCATGACCACGGGACAGCCTTTTCCTGTGTGCTTGTGCAGAAGGCCAGATGCTGCAGCTGACTCAGCGTGGGTCCCTTCCCTAGGGCTCACTTTCACAAGCTGGTGTGAGCTGATGCAAGAGCTCTTATGGCTGAGGGCAGGAGTTCCCTCTCCCCATTTTCCCCCTCTCATGTGCTGCTGCCCAAGCAGTGCTGGCACCAGCATCTGCCTAAGCCCTCTGCAAGAGAAGCCATCCACCTTCCCTCTGGAGAAGACCAAGTGTGCTGTGGTCAGTGGGATGTGCCCTCTGATTTTGTCTTCTCTTGCACTGGGAGATCTGCTGCTGGGCATTGTGTCCCTTGTGCTGCCTGAGCCTGGAGGATAGAGTGGAAATGTGGCCCCATTCTCCTCTCCCTTCCAGTGGGAGAAGAGAAGCAAGGGTTCCCTTCCAGCTGATCACTTCCTATGCCATGTCTGTCTCCTCCCCGATGTCCCTGTTTTTGTCACTTTCTGGAGTCAAAGCTAGGATGATGGTATTAATTAAACTATTTAAGAGGAAGGAGAGGAGGGGAAGAGTTGTATTTTTCTGGCAAATTCTCCTGGCAGGGCTAACAAACCTCCTGTTACAGTGCTGTGTGCCGTCTCTAATGACTGTACCTGAGCTCAGACAGCACAAGCTGTGGTGCAGATTTGCACACAATTGTAGGCTGTTCTGCAGTTTCATGGGTGACTGAAATACAGATTGTGCTGCAAAATTAGAAAGTCTAGGCTTGAATGAACCCATAAATAGGCTCTGAAAATAGCTTTGCTGAAAGGGAGATATCTCAGGTTGAAGCAAGGAAGCAGGGGTGCCCCTCTGATGCGGAGTAGCAGGATGGGTAAGCATGTTGTTTCTCTTTCACTGTTAGGAGAAAAAAGGCAAAAACGCTGTTGAAAATCATAGGTTGTGTTTCAGAAGCCTGGAGAAGCTTGGCAAAGGCTTTCAAACTGGTAAGATGTCCAGCTGTGATGTATCTTTCTCATTTATAGCTAGGTCAATCTAACCTGTTACTTCTGTAAATTACACAGGCACTGATCTAAGACAGGCTAAATGTGGCTGCTTAAGGTTGTTGGTTTGTTTGGGTTTTGGGTTTGGGGTGGTTTGTTTTGTTTTTTTTTTTTCAACACGTATCCTGGAAAGCTAGAGTGGTGTGCTAGAAAGCTTGCTCCAAGCTGAAGAATGGGCAAGTGCCAAAAT